GCCACCCCCGGAGTACAGGGAACACCCAAACGTGTGGTATGTAGCATTGCAGATGTGTCTGCAGCACCACTTATTGCGCGGCAGCACTTGTCTGGATGGGGCCCTAAAGTGCAACTGGATAATGACAAAGAAAACAAAATGTGTCATTAGAGACTAAAAGAAAGATTTATCTTCAGTAATCGTCTATTTTTTTGTATCACAGAAAATAAAACTACCTAAGAAGATATCCAGACGCTATCCAGCTTATGAGCTCTATCTGTATGGGGAAGGAAATTACGCTGAAGAAAACAAAAATTTGCTGCTGACAGGGATTCCAGTTCTCTTCCTTCCTGGCAATGCTGGGAGTTACAAACAAGGTAAAAATATAATAAGCAAATATTGAAATCTGTACAGTGTTATTTTTGTTAGCTGAAGACGGGAAAAGTTTGTGTCTTTGGTACGTTACTAAAGGAATCCAGTAAATGTATCCATAAGCCTCAGTGCTTTAGGATTTGTGCTGACAGGATTTGCACGTTCCTGACTTACACCACCAAGGAATGAAAAGACTGAATTTTTGGTTGTTATAGCTTAGTTGAAGTCAGCTGATGTGCACTAGATGAGAATCCAGTCTGAGATATTTACATGTAGTAGGACTTACTGGTATTTGCAGAAAGGAGACTCATAAGTCACCGTTGCTGTCTCATGGATGGAAGCATGGTATGAATGTTTTCAGGCCAGTGCAGGAGGACAAAAGGTAAAAAAAAAACTTTTGCCTTTATTAAATCAGAGCTTCCATTGCTACCGCAAATGGGCATCCATGTTTAATTGTGGGCCTTATTTTTACTGTACTGAACATAATCTAAGAGGCACTTGAACTCCCAGAACTAATTAACGCTGTGATTTCTGTCTGGATCACTCTAACTGCTCTAAGTTTGCTCATATATGCAAGAGGAATCCATAAGCTGTGTTGTGACAGCATTGGGCCATGGCTGCAAAGAAGGGTTAATACTAAACTAGCTACTGTACAATTCTGACACATTTGTGATATCAAATTCAGTCTCAAATACCTTAGAAATAAAAATTCTCCCTCACCTGTTTATGAAAGCAGTTTCAGTATCTTCTACTGTGTTTTAGCTCATGGGTGTTCCAGTGTTTGTGTAGCCTGTTTTTCTACTTGGTGTAATTCATTATTTCCTGCTATGCTTCTAATTCTCAAATGAAATAAATATGTTTAAGATACCATCACTTCTCTGTACAGATATAATATTTAAAAATTATGTGGTATTCTTGAAAGTGCTTTACCAGCATTGACTAATAAAAATGAAGCATTAAAACAGCATTACTGTTGGGGTAGTCTTCATTTAAAATGTTACTCTTGTTTTACAAAATGTGGTTTGAAACCAAACTATTCAAACTTACGGTGATGGCAAAATTTTATTTGTGTGCAAGTAGTATGTCCTTCTTCCTGAAACCAGTTTGTTAGTCAAATCCTTCTTTTAAAGAAGTAAATACATATTTAGGATGACTTCTGCATTCAGTTTATGAATAAATTATGCTGATGTTTTTGATCTGCAGTTCTTACTTCTTTAACTTCTTAGTTTGAGATCATATGTGCTTAGTTATAAGCAGAAGACACAGTCAAATATTATATAATTTTAGTTTTAGAAAACAAATGGCACTTGTGGACAATCGTGGCTAGAGAAGATTGAAATAACCATTGCAGAAAAGATATGGACATTTCTTATGTTTAAAGTACATACTGCAAATCTCTGTGAATTAATCATATTTCTGAATACACAGCAGTACATAAGTATAGGGCAGTGGAATGCCTTTGAATATGCTCACCAGGAGTCAAAGGGAAATTTAAAAAAATATGATTTGAGGAGGAACACCATTTATAATGTACAACTTAAAATCAGGACCCTTAGTATTTTCTCTTTAGTGCTTTAAAGAGTTGGTTTAGAGAGATCACAGTTATTGATCATAAACATTCATCTTTCAAGCTCCTTGTTAAAACTAAATAAATGTTACCTCTCTGGTTTAATTGGTGATTCTCCCTCATTGTACTTACAGCTTTGTATTCTAGACTTTATATTGGTAGATAAAAGTACTTGCTGTAGAAGACATTGGGCTCTGAGCAAGATTATATGCTGCTACTTCCACTTCATTTGTTTATTTTAAAGTATGTCCAGTTTAGCAGAGCAGTGTTGCTACTTTTTCTATGCTTGTTATTTGGATAAACTGAGGATACTCGTTAATTTGGCAAGTCTCATGAGCATTAAAATTACTTTTTTAAATGTACAAAATATACAGAGACTTGCTGGAGGAGGGAGGATCTGGTGTGAGGTGAAATTAATTATTCCAGAGTTGGTAGTAGTATGTTCTTGAGTTCTTATTTTGTGTCTGATCCCGACTTGCTTTGTGATTGTTGTAAATTATTTATTCTTTATACCACAGCTTCCCATCTGTAAAATCAGGACAAGCTTTTTAGCTGTTTATGTGAACATTAAGGATATCAGTAAAAACACATTTAAAATTGATTTGAAATGAGCTAATTGACAGATTTCAAAATAGCATCAGTGGGAAATCAAATGGAGATACTTTTAGGCCCAGTACTTTTCTTTTATCAACTTAGTAGCAACTAATATTAAAATATATGCTAATAAAGTTTGTAGATAACAATGAGTGGTGTGACAGTACAGTCATACAGACAATCTGGGAATCTGGGCTCTTTTAAACAATGTGCTTTATTGAAGCCAAATGCAAGGTCATATATCTCTAAGAATATGAAAAGCAGATCATACCTATAGAATTAGGGACCTGGCTGGTAGTGACTCTGAAAAGGATTTAGTGAGCCAGCAATTGAACATGAACTCCTTATATGATGCTTTGGCACAGTGACTTGGCAGCCTTCCCAAGCCACGGGCCAGAACAATCTAGCTGCAGTCCAGCGCAGGCTGGGGGGCTTCAGCAGTGCATTGGTGACGGGCTTCTGTCTGCTCTGAGACTGCGCAGCTGGAAGCTGCACATGTGCTACAGCCTGGGAGGTGAGAAGAAGTACCCTGCTACCAGAACCCCACAGTTTAGCAGGCTGGATTCAGTGGTTCTGTGGGCTGTATGTTGCAACTCCCAATCTGGCAAATATAACTCAATAGGTACTGATCCAGCATACACGTTTAATAAAGGATATTGAAAATTGGAGAATGTGCAGAGAAACGCCACAAAAAGTGACTTTGAGAGCTGTAAAATTATCATAATAAAAAACAAGAGTTCAATCTACTAGATTATCAGAAGTCAGGAGTAGACTTCAGGGTTCTCATACGTTGTAATCATGAAGAGAGAATACCAGGAATAAAGGTTTCCTCAATCTAGCAGGCATAGTGAGAAGAATTTAGAAAAGAGAAACATACCTGTAAATTAGGCATAAATATTTAACACACAGTTATTTTACGTACAGGTTGGATTATCTAGTGGTACAAACTACCAGAGGAGGTAATTGGTGCTCATGCTCTCCCTCTCCAGATTGAGACTGGATGCCTTTCTGCAATATATGCTTAAGTCAGATGCACATTGTTGAGCTTAGTACAGGAATAACTTGATGAAATTCTGTGGTCAGTGCCTTGAACATGTAAAGTGTGATTTATTTATTTTTTTTAGATATGGTGGTTTATCTCTTTCATTGGGGCTCACTGAGGATATTGGATTTGTGAATCTCTACACTCAGAAACTATTTCTAGGGATTAATGAAGATACAGCAAGATTTGAGATATCAGAATATTGTACCCTAGGAGAAATTGGCAGTTTGATTACAGATGGATTCTTTTTCTGTAGGACAACTTTTCCTTAGAGCCTTTATTTTACCTTCCAGAGCTGTAGTAATCTCCAAACTGCAGATAAATTTCCCCTTTTGCCAACCCGTCACCCTCATCTGTAGTCTCTAATAACAGTATTTGCAGCAGCTATTGATAGTAGTTCCCGCTCTATTTTCTTGTCTCCATGGAAACTTGCTGGCAGTGCTACAGTGTGAAAGCCATGCTTAATAGCAGCCAAGGATGGGCAGGGCAGATATATTATGTATGAGATCTTGAGAGAAAAGATTTGTCCCTGCAAGGTTCAAAATTTGAGAAAAGAAAGGAGTGGAAAGGATATACCAGGATGAGAGTTGAAGGGCTTCCTATCTAGCTCAGCATTTGAAACTTAGGCTGCACAGAGCCAGGGTTTGCAAAAGACTTTAAATAAAATCTAACAATGCTAGTATTTCTAGCATCAAAGTCTAAAACAGCATTACTATCTTTTTGTTACACTCACTGACTAACAGAATGATAACTTCATGCACCTCCATGTAGTAGTAATTATCTGTGTGCCTACAATTAAAAGTGTAGGGGTGGGGGTAAGGACTTACTGCATATCTGAGCTGCTTCACTGTAACTGTCCCAAGCCCCACAGTCAATAAGAAACAGGGGCTTGATTGTGCCTCTTCCACTTCATTTTAATCTTTATTTTTAGTCTCTGTGGCCACTTTACTCCATGGTATAAGGTAAACCTGAATGAAACTGGGCAATGTTGCCCTAACTTCAGTTTTCATTTAACACAGGATAATTGCAGGTACAGGGGTATTTACCACAGAATACCTGAGATGTGGTAAGCAATAGAGGTGCACCGATACATCAGTCCGATATCAGATTCGTATCAATATAAAGAAAATGGTCTATAGCGGATATCGGCCTTATGGGGTCAATAATTTGGCAGATAAATTCCTGTGCTGTGTGCAGCCGCGGTACAGCATGGAGCAGAGCCAGCAGCGTGGAGAACTGTTTCCAGCTGGTAATTTGGAGTTGGGGGGCAGATCAACACCTCCCATGGTGAGGGAGGGGGCAGAGGTAGGCGCTGCCCAGCTGGGGTGGGGAGGACAGGATGTGCAGGATGGAGGCACGGCTTGTGGAGTAGGGGGGTGGCTCCTGCTGCTGCTTGCACCCCAGAAGGTTGGGGGGGAGTGCCACCAGATCTGTGTGAGGCAGGGTAGGCTGCAACTGCAGGATGGAGCCGGAGCTGGTTCTGCACAGCTCCTCTCACAGGGAGCCGGGGTTGGAGCAGGCTCTGGCGGTGCTGGGAGGAGGCTGCAGCCACCCCAGATTTCACCGCAGCTCCACTCCCAGCCTTGTGCCACTGCCTACCGCCCGGCACAGCCCTGGCTGAATGCCCCACCTCCACCCAAGTGCTGGGAAAAGCTGCAGCTGGGCCGAGCAGCGGGTGGTAGTGTGGGGCTGGGAGCAGAGCTGCAGTGAAATCTGGGGTGGCTGCAGTCCCCTCCCAGCGCCACAGGAGCCTGCTCCAAGCCCAGCCCTCTGCAAGAAAAGCCCTGTGCAGCCCCGGCTTTGGCTCCACCCCACAGCTGCAGCCTGCACCACGCAGATCCAGGGGTACGTGCCCCCTCTCATCCTCCCGGAGTAGAAGCAGCGGTGGGAGCTGCCCCCAGCCCACAAGTGGCAGCTCTGCCCCCCCGCCCTGGCTGGGCAGCACCTACCCCTGCCTGCTTCCTCACTGCGGGGAGGGGGGCAGGGAGCGTTGATCTGCCTCCCCATGCCCCTTCCTTCCTTCCCTCTTCCCCTTCCACCACACTGGACTTACCAGCCGGAGGCAGCTGTAGTGGATATCAGATCAGTATCAGCCAATATGCCTCCTTAAATACTGGCTATTAGTATCGTCCCCCAGAATCTCTGTCAGTGCACCCCTAGTAAACAAGGTTCTTTGGGTAAATGCGCTGTCTTTTATTAAACCAACTAAATAGTTGTAAAAATGTTCTTTGCAAGCTTTCAGGCATAAACACCCTTCTTCAGGTGTAAGTCTTTCTAGCCTTGATAACTGTGTGCCCACAGTTAATTATGAGCTTGGGGGAATTAGATTCTCCATGGGGCTCGTGACCCCTAGTCAGGGAACCACTGGTTTATTATTCCTTTTGCTTTGCTGTCCTTACTGGTAGGTAAGGAAGGGAAAATGAGGTGATACCTGGGATATGCTCTTGATCAAGCTGCAGGGATAAAGCAGCAGCACTTATTTGTATTGTGTATGGCAGGTGGTCACTGAGGTATATTAGATGAGTTGCTGATAGAATCTTGCCATCTTCCTAAAACTTAGCCTGTCTGTGATTTTTCCATCCTCCATCTTAGCAGGTTTGGCTTCTAGGTTTCCTTTTGCATTATTATTTTTTTATATGAAACTTTAAGTGTTCTTTGCTGTGTTAAAGTTTTTTGCATAAACAAATTATTTACTTCATGTTCAGCTTGTTTTCATGTTCAGCTTGTTGAAGCAATCATTCTTATTTTCTATAGATATGCCTTTATGGATTGACTTGTCTTTTAGGAAAGAAATAGGTAAACTTTTAGTTTGCTGTATGATCAGGATTGTTGCATGTGACACCTAAAGATGATGGCTGCTTACAGACATGAAAGAAACAAGCCAATTAGTGCTTTACTTTCAGCTCTGTCTGCCCCAGCACCAAGCGTGGCACATGCCCAGAAGAGGCATTGTGTTAGTTTGATCCAGCTCACCCAACATCTGTATAAATTGTGTGCTTCTGCGGGGGGGCGGTGTTAAAAAGCCCTGCTGAAGCACCTGATCTATACAGATGCTGGGGAGCCAGGTCAAAGTAACTCACTTCCTCTTCCTGTAAAGCGCTATTTTTTTTCACGTCTGTCAGCAGCCGATGTTCACAGAGTGATCAATGATCAGGTTTAAAAAGCTTGAATATTCAGTGGATAAAAGGTAATGTTTGTGAGAAATTTCACCATGACTTTTTGTGCTATAGAGAATAACAGTAGTGACTGCTGTTGAGAGAGCCATTTCTCTGATTAACAAGTGAAATTTCTTTCCCCAGTGCGTTCTCTTGGCTCTATAGCACTTAGAAAGGCAGAAGACATTGACTTCAAGTACCATTTCAATTTCTTCAGTGTCAATTTTAACGAGGAGCTGGTTGCACTATATGGTGGTAGTCTGCAAAGGCAGACCAGATTTGTTCATGAGTGCATAAAAGTAATCCTTAAATTGTACAAGGTAAGAAGTGATAAATATAGATGAATGGTATTTTCAGATTTTTCTTCTTTTCAGAGGATTTTTGTCCATTGAAAATTTGTGGGGTGAATTGTTTAAGCGCATAGATTCTCAGTTATATTGGGGAATTGCAAGAAAGATGCTGCTGCTTTGTTCATGATTTGTCGAGTTCTTGTGTACTCTGGTGGAATGCCCTGAGCCTTGGCTTGGTTCTTTTTCATGTTTTTAGATAAAATACTTCAATTTTTAATATATTTACTTTTTTCACTTGAGATGGAATAAGCTAATATTTCCTTCCAGAAATGTTTCTTGACGTGTGTTATAAACATTTATCATCAGTTAGAAACTACTGTTTCTGAAGTGTAACATTAACTACATAACACTTTTGCCTTGTAAGTCTCTGTAACTCTCTGTTAGCTTGGTTTTGGAGGACTAATTTTGGATAGATTAGTAACAACTCATCAAATGCTTAATGTGGATGTTTTCTTTGAGCAGCATGGTTTATTTCAGGGAAAAGATGTATGCCTGTTTATCACGAGTTATCTCTTTTAAGTATTTGTTTCATTTAAAAGACTGCTTTCATGTAACTTTGAGTGATTACTTGCTGCTTCTTTTTTTAAGGATTGTGAATTTGCACCAAGCAGTGTTGCAATAGTAGGCCATTCCATGGGTGGTCTTGTAGCAAGAGCATTGCTTACTCTAAAGAACTTTAAACCTGAGCTTATCAACCTCCTCATTACACAAGCCACACCTCATGTTGCACCTGTAATGCCTTTAGACAAATATCTTACTGGTAAGTTTACTTCTGTTCAGATCATTATATTGGATGCTTGCTTATTCTTTTTTTATTAGTGCTTGTGAGTGGACGGAAGTTTGTTACATAGTGCGGCCTGAAGACTTATAGGACAAGTAGTGAACTCTGTGATGTTCTAGTGAATCTTTCCCTGCTTTGCTACTGAGAATGAAAATTAGAATATTAAAGCAATAGCATTCTTTATCAAGTAAACATCAAAATAAGATATCTATTATTAAATAATAGCAGCAGTGGTGGCATGTGGCAAAAAGAGCAAAATTAAAGGAGCTGTTGTGCAGTGCACTTCTGCCGTGATTTAGATAGCTCCTTATTCGTAATGCATCCTTTCATGTCGTAAGAAGCTTGGTTTACTTGAGCATCACTTCTCTTAGACCCACAAGTATAACATTGCTTCTTGACATGTCAAAAATGGGAACAGAAGAGGGGACTGCTGCTAGGCTGTCAAGAACAGCTCTAACAAACCTTACTTAGTTGACAGTATCTTGTTTTCTTTGTTATAAAATAAGCTTATGGTAAAACTAGAACCTATTTTTAATACTTTTTTTTTTAGATTTTTATACAGCTGTAAACAATCATTGGATTTTAAAAGCCCAGGACATAAGAAATCTAACTATGCTTTCTGTGGCGGGAGGATTCAGAGATTACCAAGTTCGTTCAGGACTGGCTTTTCTACCCAGATCGAGTCAACATAATAGTGCCTTATCTGTTGTGGTAAAATCTTTTTTTTTATTTTAATTATCTTCTAATGAAATTGTTGGGTAACTATTTGTGGAGCAACTCTGTCTGTAAATAAAATGTACAGTCTAGTATATTTTTAATTCAGTGAGACTAGGTGTGAAAACATGAATCTGATAATGGGTGGTATAAAAACTTGGTGGCAAACAAGTGGAGAGAATATTTCATGTTGTGCTTATTTTTCCCCTTCTGCTTCAAAAGTGCACAAATGTTAAAATTCACTGAAAATATGATTTTTATTCTGCCTCCCTTGTAATAAAGTCTTTTTACAAGACTGAGAGATTTCAAGAGGTGCATTGAACAAGGGTAATATTCTGTAAGAACTCCTTTCATTTTCTGTTTTATAGGGCTTTTCACGTTCTCAGTATGTGCATACATGGGTTATCAACATGCATATTACCTCTGGCATGGTTAGAACAACACTTATACTGCTGTAAGGTGGGGTGACTGTTCTCCTTGTATCAGCTCCTGGACTGTATAAGCGAAGCTAACTATTGCATTTTAGCTTCTCCTTACAATGGGATAGAGCAAATGGACAAAACAGGAACAGCTGAAAAGTGTGTCCGGTTATTTTGACTTTTCTCTCTCCCCTTCCGTTTTTTTGTTTGGTATACTTGGTTCATCTGTCCACACTTTGTTATACATTTTAACACACAGCTTTCTATTTCTATCGCCTCTATCTGCTTTTATTATATGGAATGCTTTACTTGCAGCCAAAGGAAATGTGGGTGTCTTAAAAGGCTAGTTAATTGCAATTAACTTACTTGTGATGAGTATCAACCATTTTCTCTGAATCCTGTTTCTCACATCCTGAGAATTGAGAGGTTAAATTAGTTCCTGACTGATAGATGAGAAGCATCAGTCACTTAACATTTGCAAACTGATTCTTGTTGAATTTCTAGCAGCTTCTTGGTATTCAGCAGGGAGCAGTAGTCAGTTGTACTTTATTATAATTTATTTTTAGTAACAAATGTACATCTTTTTCTTATTTTGGTTCATACCTTGCTGTAGTTATCTGTTGCCTTCAGACTAACTTATACTGAACTTTACATCCAAGTGTGTGCTCTCAGGAAAGGCTTTGGATATGAAAATGCATTGACTAATGACTAGTTGAGAGGATGGAATGTGCATTTATTCCCTTGTTCCTGTGCCAGCATTGTTTTCTTTTTACTCTTTGGTGTTTATTCCCCAAAATATAAATGGCAGTCATATGCCTGCTTGGTCTTAATGTTGCTCAATTTAAACAATATAAGATCTTTTAGTTTCCTTTCATATTGTATCCCTTCTTTGCACCTCTTCCAATCTGAGTTTTTTCTTGAACATGAATAACCAGAATTATACGCAGTATTCCAGGTGAGGTCTCGCAAGTACTTTTTACAGTAGCAGTAGTGCTTCCCTTAATACCTTGCCTGATACCCTAGAATTATTTTTATCTTTTTCAGGATTGATTTCACTCAGTTCATAATTTTCCTATAATCAACCACTGCACTCATGTTATTCTTCTCATTTTCTAACTGATGAGCTCCCAGCTTATAGCAGAAGTTCTTGTTATTAGTTCCTAAATGTATGACTTTTATTTTGAACTATTGAGTCTTATCTTACGTCTATTATTCTAGTCGTCAAGGTCATTCAGTTCTTCCTGTATGATATTCTGATCCTCTTTGTGAAGTCTGCTGATGACACTAAATTGGGAGGTATTATTAATACAATCACACTCCATTTTGTGCCAAGGCTTGATGAAAAATTAAGCAATTTGGTCTCACGATCAATCCTGGAGGAACTCCAGTAATAACCTCCATCAAGGATGATACTTTCCCTTCAAAAAAAATTCTGTTCTTGTCTTCCTTTTGGTTAGTTCCTCACCCATGTTTTGCTAATCCTCATCCTTTTCAGCTTAATTTATACATTAAGAAAGCTGTTTTCTAAAATGTAGGCTGGTGAAATGATATGGTTTTAATTCTCAATATAATTGTAAGGCTAACTAAGCTTCTAAAATAATATTATGTCATTATTGATATTAAATCTTTGATTAAGTACCAAAAATATTTTATTTTTTTTCTGAACAGAGCTCAGCAGTTCCTCGAGCATGGGCTTCAACAGACCACCTCTCCATAGTGTGGTAAATTCATTCATAAAACAAACAAACAAAGTTAGGTTACAGACATGACTGCTATTTTTTTCCTGCCTTCATCACTATATGTCACTTCATTTAATCTCAGCATAATTATCTGGTGACTACTTGCTCACTTTTCTGTGTTCTTATCTTTAAATAAAATTTTACTTGCGTTCTCTCTCCTAGGTGTAAAGAACTGATATTGGCTACCATTAGGGCATTTTTTGATCTCATTGATGAAAACACCAAACAGGTTTGTAGCTCCACTCTCTTCCATATGCTGAAATAAAGTGCTTTTCCAGCTAATAACATTTCAATCAGCATTGTAATATTAGGGACAAATACTGCATACTAGTTTTTCTGCATTGTTCTTCCTGGTAATTCTATATCACTCTGGTAAATCTGTGCTGCTTTTCCCCTGTGCTGAGCACTAGTTCATTCTCCACTGCCGCTGCTAGCCTGAGCCCCGTGCCAGCTCTGGGGTCACCTGTCAGGGCTGAGCCATGGCAGGAGCAGCTGGGTAGAAGCTGCTGCTCAGCGCAGAGGAAAGCAGCCCCCACACTCACCACTGCCAGACAGTGTTCGCTGCAGCTGGCCACCTAGAGCTTGTGCTGCGCTAGGCTGCAGTGTAGCTGTTTCACTGCTGCCTCTGTGCTGCCCTGTGTTTGCTCCTACAAGGCCAATGCTGCCATGCTGGCCGGCACAGAGGTGGCGAAGCAGCTGCACTGCAGCCTAGCACAGCATGAGCTCCGGGTGGGTAGCTGCAGCAAGCACTACTCAGCAGCAGTGAGTAGCAGTTTCTGGGGAACAAGCTGGTGTTCATTGCAGGGTAAAAGCGGCTGCTCTCCCTCCCCATGGCCAGTGCCCTATGCTGTAGCCACTCGGAGCCCGTATAGGGCTGCCTGTGCCTGCTTTTTGTTGCCACCACTGCCCTGCACTGTGGCAGTGACACGGCAGAGAGGCAGGGCAGCCCCACGCGGGCTGTGAGTGGCTGCAGCAGGAAGCGCTGGCCATGGGGGATGGGGCCCACTTTTCCACCGTGTTGAGCACCAGCTCGTTCCCCACCGCTGTTGCTCAGTCCAGATGGGCGAGCTCAGGGGTCAGGGCTACGTGCTGGTCGCCACCTTTACCATGGGGCTGAGGTGGGGGCAGTGGGAGTGAGTGGGCACACAGGAGCCAGTGACAGCTGGGTGGGAGCACAGGGCCTGTGCCAGTGTTCTGGGACCAGCGCCCCTCTCCCTGCTGGTGCATTCCAGCCCAGCTCCCCAGACCCTGCCAGCCCACACCCCACACTCCTACCGCTCCGTTCTAGGCCCCATTGGCACTGGCACAGGGCCTGTGCTCCCGCTCACTTCCACTCACCCCCGCCCCTTCCACTGCTTTCCAACCGACTCCTGGCTGCATGGCCAGACCGTGGGACTCAGCAGGAGCTGGCCTAGCCCTGAGGACTGGGGCTATCCCTGCGGTCCTCCCCTGCCCCCCCTCCCCCTTCTTACCTGCATTTTCTGTGCTGGCACAGTCGTGAACAGCCCCAGGTCCCAGGCCAGAAGCCCCTTGTAGGGGTTTCTGGTTGAGGGGGCTAGGCTTGCAGAAGCCTGCTGAGGGTTCCTGTGGGTCCTACTGCCCCTGGCTCCTGTCATTTTTGACAGGAGCCACGAGCTGGTGAATATTAATTTTTAAAATTTTTTAGGGGCCCCACAGGCCAGATAGAATGGCCTGGTGGTCCAGATGCAGGCTGTATTTTGCCCACCCCTGTGTTACATGTTCCTCTCCTTCTTGAGGTGTAGGTTTTAGTTATGGAGGTTCCTGGTTGGATTCTCCATGTGCCAGAAAGAGCATGGTCATTTATACACATATAGATGTCCTGGGATTTTTGTGAAGGCAAACTGAAGTGTAATTTTTTTCATAAGTGTTCATTTTTAGATAGTCTAAGGCAGGGGTGACCAACCTGTGGTACATGTATCACAAATGGCATGAGGATCTCTGTGTGGCACACAACAAACTGGGGAGAGTGCCAGCAGCAAAGTGATACATAGGGAGGAAGCAGATCAGGCAGGGGTTTGGAGTGGGGCTTATTTTGTGGCACACCTGCCAAAAAGGTTGTTTTCAACTGATTTAGGGGAAAGCTAATGAATTTACTCTTGTCCTTTTTTTGCTCATATTTTATTAAATATAGTTTTATTATTTTTCCCCCCACCGTCTTGCTTTCTTTGTTTCTCTTGTATCTCACGGTTGGATAAAGTATTTGAAAACCCTTTAACACTGTTTTTTTCTATTCCTGACTCTTATTGTTTTAGAGCAGTAAATGGAAAAAAAATAAGAAAGAGGTCTGGTGGCTGAAAATACCCAATAGCAGAGCCCATATCATTGGCAATGTGTCAGGGAGCATGGGGGGCAAATGCCCTCCCAGATTTGTGTGTCAGCAGCAGGGCATGCTGACACAGAAATCCAGGACCCAGCAGCAGTAGGGGTGGCAGCAACAGCATGGAGTTTTGCCACCCACTGTGGTGGTGGCATGGGGTTATGCCCCATCACACTCAGCACTTACACGTCGCCTATAGCCCATGTCATAAAAAGTGAATGGTCAGTTATTCTTTGCGAGCCTTCATTTGATACAGGCTTCACTGTTCTCTCAAGCTTGCTCAGTTAAACTTTTCAACATATAATGCTTAAGGATAGGAGACTGCCTTTTTCTGAAGTTGACTGATATTGGGCAGTAGGAGTAAAATTCTTCAGGACTTACTTGGGTTGGCCCTCATGATTCCATGTTTCAAAACCACACTTGCAAAGAGTGAAAGGGAGATCAAACAGGTTAATTTTTAGAAACAACATTGTTTTGATGCTATTTGGACATTTGAAATGTCTGTTAAACCCAGGAATTAGGATTTACAGGCACAGGCAAATCAGTTGGCAAAAGGTCAAAAATTAATTTGTCACATGGCTCTCCAATTTATCACATTGGCACCTGTGTATGTGCCTCTGCATTACAATGTAGTTAAAGCTTTTTGATTTTATGTATGCATAGTTATCTTTTTGTATCACTTGTTAAGTTCATACTTTGTATATTGCAATAATTGGATGTTAATAGGAATCCTAGAAAAACAGGGCTGGAGGGGACCTCATGAGTCCAACCTTCTGCTCAACCATTGTAGGCAAGTATAAGTCTAACCCACTCCTAAAAACTTCTACAGCCTGTCTCAGGAATCTGTTCCATTGCTTAGATATGCCCATTGTTTAAAAGTTCATAATATCCAGCCTATATTTCCTTTCTTTCAACTTAAGACTGTTTCTACTTGTCCTGTCCCCTGCAGCTACAGAGAAAAGTCTATCATGATCATTTTTATAACCACTCTTCAGGTATTTGATGTTGATATGCAGTGTTGATATTCTGCAGTTATTGAATTAAAAACAGAAACCATGTTCACTTCTGTCACCTTGACATTCTGATTCTGACTCTTAATTACTAAAACTGCATAACTGGTTTACTGTTTTGGTAATTCATGTAAACTACGCAAAATGCTAACACATCTTTGTATTTTTAGATAACTGATGATCCAAAGAAAAGATTGTCAGTATTGAATCACCACTTTGTGAAACACCCAGCAAAGCTGTATGCAGAAAACCCTGAAACACTTACTGAACTTACAGGTTTGCCACTCTTATTTGTTACTAGGACCAGTGTTCATGGATACTGTGTTGTTTAATCTCCTTGTAACCAGACTTCTGCAGTAGACTCTGTTCTCTGTTAGGTACCATTCAGGTAATATTTCTACTGTGTGGAAACAATTTCTGGGGCTTGACATTTGCTTTCTAATGAACTGAGCTTGCTATAGGATCTGCTGGGGCAAAGATATCTTTGTCACTTTTGAATTCTTCAGATTCTGGGGGCCTGCCAGGAACCAAAGGTTGTTCCAATTTATGTCTGACTGTCAGTGGCCCTGAGACATTGCTTCAGCATAGCTAGAGGTGAGAATGTTTGGACTGTATCTCTTCCTGTGGCCATCTTTTTCATGCTGGCTGAAGGTGACTTTTGTATGTTGTGTATAATCACTCTACCAGGTGCTCAGATCTGCTGATTCAGTTTCTGATATTTATTACTACTAGGGAGGGGAATAAGGAGAGAACTCTTGACTGAGAGTCCCACGGATCTTTTGTAAGCCAAGAATTGCAGAAACTTGATGGTTTTTTTTTTTTTTTTTGAAGTGGGCTGGATGGTGGAAAATTATTCCCTTTGGTCAGGTTCTTTAGTTTATAATATAATGGCTGTAGTGTAATATGTTAGATTTTCATTATTCATTTTCTCAGATTTCCCCTCTATTTTAAAAGCAATTAGGAATGTATTTTAATCTGAATTTTTGTTCTCATTTGGCTAAATTTCATAGACATTAGGGCTGGAAGGGACCTCGTAAGATCATCAGGCCCAGCCCCCAAATTTATCCTTTATGTCATGCCATTGAGTTTAATGACGTTACCCTTGGAATCAGTTTGCCTCTGTGTTTTATATATTGGCATCTCTAATAAAGCCATCTAAGTTATTCCCCCAAGGCATATTTCTATTGGCTATAATTCCTTTTTATAGCTCATTTTCTGCTCCTGATTCTTTATACGCTAGAAGAAGGCAGGGCAGGCTTACACCTCACAAACAAATTAAAACAATGCAAACTAGCCTCCCTTCTGCCCCACTTGAGAGTAATATGCCTAATTACCTTTTTCTGTATGCCCTGTCATGTTCCATGTGTCTGAGATGTGACTATGTTATTGGGTAAAGATAACGTGGTGTGGTTGTTATATTTCCAGTGCTGCATCACCTTTGCTTAGCCTCCATACTGTGTTTGAAGCCAGAGGGCAAGTTTTTCTTTGAGACCTTGATTATGAAGAGACTCATGTCTATTTATTAATTTGGAAAGTAAAAAAAAAAAAATGGATCCTTGGGTGTAATTGGTCTCTGTATAACTGATCTTTAGCCATAATATGCAATTCTGCAAGGCAGTCCTGATAGTTTGATTGTGCGTCTGATCAGCTATTTTCTGGGAATGCGAACAAAGAGATATTAAATACATTTTGTTAAAGCAGAATATTTGTTATAGTTTGTAAATGTCTACTGAAGATTACTGTTATACAGTATAAACAGTTCATAGAGTAACATACCAACAAGGCAAGGCTTAAATCTATTTGAATTGTGCAGAAGTGAATAAATCAAAGCATGTTTACTTCTAGGAGCCTTCATTTGGATTAAAATCAGAACCTCAAAATGGAACTATACAGTATACAATGTAAGTAACACTCTTTTCTTTTTATAATTATATTTTCTGGTTTTTCAGCTTTTCCTTGATAAATATTTTTTTTCCTTTCATTAGGAATCTGATGGAAAATATTTTACGTTTCCTCTTGCAAGCCACAGAAAATCCTACAGTCATGTTCATTGTCAAAACAGTATGTTGGTGAGGAAATGCTTGTTTTCTGTGTTGTAAATTTATGTTTATGAAGCTGAATTACTTCCATTTAGGGTACTTCTACTGCCTTAATAATTAGGAGCAGATGTCAGTTTCTTGACTGCCCTCACAAACTATTACTTGATTGAATGGGCGTACTGTTTAGTCTATATTGTTTCTAGTGTTACCATCACCATAGTATCTGAAGCTACATAAAGGAATTGCCCATTTTAGATTTTGTGATTTCCCCCACCCCACTTCTTAAGCGGCTTTGCTGTTGTTTGTAATCCATATTCCCTGGTGTAATTTCTTGACTTCAGTAGGCATGCTTCCATGCAAAACATGGTCTTAAAATTCAGTGGAGACTTGAGTTTTACATTTTTTATCTTTGGCACTTGGTGTGTAGTCCCAAGTGGTAGTGACTGCTGTGTACCAAGTGAGCAGTTCATAGGTATGAATGGAGAGGATGTAGCCAGGCCATACACTCAACTCTGATTTTTTTTGTCCCTCCTCTCCCCCCTCATCATCAGTATGTTATCTCAGATTCTGAACCTCAGAATAGTTTGCCGTAAAATATGTAATTGACTAACATTCTTGAAATCAAAAGAAGGTAAGAGGAGTTGAAATCATTATCAGCTGCCAAGGATACAGATTGTATTAGACTGCTTTGAATGGCATAATGGGGTAATTCTGCCTTTCAAAGTAGGCTTAATATCTAACAACAGTGATTGTAGCATTGTTTATTTTTGACAAATTGATTATAAATTAAATATTTTCTTGTTAATTATTGTGCAGCAGTTGCTGTTTTTTCAGAAAAATTTTTAAATTAGAAATCTTTATTTCCATTCTTTGTATTTTTCTAACAATGTGCCACAATTTTATTGCACCAGCCATCCTATTATTTGAGGACATATAATACCTTATCAGCAAGAAGAACACCACCATTTTATTTGGACAATTTAGCTAGACATGGTAGGTTTACCTGATTTAGAATTTTACTAGGGCACTAGGATTACTAATCCATCCCTTATGAAATGTACTTCTTAAGTATTTAAAGCACTCCTGCTTTGTCTCTTTCAAAGGCAAGCTTTAGTGTTTTCATGATTAACAAACGTGACAGCGGTAAGTTGTTGGAACAGTTTTTTTTACCAGATATTTTTCACAATCATACTTCTATCTTCTCCTACTTGTAATCATTAATTCTTGGTGTCTCATGTCAGATTTCTTGCTAGCAGATGCCTCATCAGTAATACAGGATTGTGACTTCAGCTCAGGACCAACAAAAAGAAAGTGTGCAATAATCTCTAATTATAACAAATTGCTGAAGCAGCTTAGTAGAAAGCTACACTTTTACATACAATTACACTTTGGGTTCAGTGTGTAAAATAGTTCTTAAGAGAAATTGGTTACTATAGTGATGGCGACTGTAGAAATGCTCAATAGATAATAATAGGGAAATGAAGCTGGAAGTCCGCTCCTTTTTTTAGTAAACAGATCCTACTGTATTTAAAGACGAGGGGTTTTAGAAGAGCTGCTGACATCTGGTGACTGTAATAATTAGGCAAATGTAAATTGAAAGTAGGACTGATAACCTACTCTTAAGTTGTTGGAGTAAAGTTTATTACTTTATTATTTTATTTCTAAATACATATTTATATTTTAAAGTAATAATGCACATCTGCATTTTATTAACAGGACACAAATAGCTGGATTTATGGCTGTGTAAACAGTAATTCCTCTATGTGGTGAGTGTAAATGCTTCTTGGTATTTACTTATGTAGATTTTATAACAACAATTTTGGGTGTTTGGGCATGTGAGAGCAGTTTTAAGAACCGTTGAGATTTAAGTAAAATTAGTGCTGTTAATAATTCAAATGTTAGCTGTACAATCTGCTTTTTCACAATTATCTAATTAAACTCAGCAATATTAACTAACCTGGTACTATTTGTAACTGTCATGGTAGTGTAAACTTTATTTTGTTTCTAATCTGTTAGTGATATATCTTATTAATATTGGATACATCCTCTGTGATGGAATTTTGTTCACTGCATATAGGGAGATGGTGTGTAGATATAAATGTATAATCTTTGTCAAGTGAGACAGAGCTTTCAGGCAGTAGTTGAAAAGGTTGGTTACTTGTGTTTATATTTTAAGTTCCCCTCGTTTTTGGGAGCAATGGATGTTTTTGTCTTTGTAAACTTATAAGAAACTAGGCACTCATTTAGTGTGAATACTGATCTCATTTAATGAATGTTTAACTTTGGAAAGTAGAAAGATTAATAATAGCTGGGATTGGTCCATATGCATGTATCTTGTAAGACACGGTTCTGCCAAATTGTCCAAAACAAGATTTGCCATCTGTGGTATTCCAGTCATAAATTACTTGGTTTTGCTAAATTACAAAGCGCACTTCATGAAATAATTTATTTGTATTAGACATAGATATATGTCCTGTTTAGTGCCTTGTACGTCTCTATAGAGATGGAAAAAACTGCTGGTACCTTAATCCACTGTTATGATTTGGCTCCCTTCATGAAGATGCACGTCTTGCAATTTTGGCTTTTAAAGCATTTTAATTCTTACAGCCTGGAAGGTGTTGACTTATCCTGGAAAGCTGAGTTACTGCCAACTATAAAGGTAGGCCAGGCCATATGTTTTTGTTGTAGCAAAAGTGGGGAGGGTTCATTTACTTGAAAATACTTTTATATAGGATTATGAATAACTTAATGCAGTCATTTATGGGATAGAATTGACAGTTAATGTCTAAGACAGGGTTCTTCTTGGAATAGAAGCTAGAGAGGATAAGAAATGCTCTTAATGAAAAATTGTGTTCTCCTTCCTTTTTGAAGGTTTATGAAAATTACATTTATCCTCAAAAATTATTTTTCACTCAAAGCTGTTTTTCACGTTAAAATCCATTCGATTAACTTGTATGCAAAAAACCCAAGAAAGCTGGATTCTACAAAAACTGGCATGGGGAAAACAAGGGAATTAAGTATTACTTTTACAAGGAACTTAAAAAGGTTACACTTAAGTAAAATTGCACAAATGAAACAGTAAGATGTTCTCCATAACTTTTCTATCACTTACCATGCATGAATTGTCGCTGGAATTTCATTGCAGACAGTTTTACTATTGACCTTGTTAGGAGAAGGATTGGATCCTATCTAAAGGGTTGGGTGTAATCTTTTGAAATGTGTATTCAACTTGAGTAAGAGAACATAATATAGCACAGGGCTGTCCAACTTCTAAGCTCCCAGGGTTCACATGCCACGCAGGCTGCACTAGGCGTGCCACATGGATGATTTCTCTTTCCCCACTGTTGTACCATGTGGGTGTTCAAGCATGATTTCCACCTCTCCACCACATGTCCACACAGGTGCACCCCCCCAGCATTACACTCCACTTCCCCTGCGGCCCCCTTCTCCCTCCAGAGCCCTGGACTCTCCATCAGGTCCCTATGCTGGAGTGGGGAGCTTGGAGGGGTGGCTAGGTGAGAAACTAGGACATGCACACTAATCTCTTGTGGGCTGTATGTGGCCCATGGGCTGCCAGTTGGATAGCACTGATGCAGCATAGTGTCCTATGGTACCTAATACTGTACTAATACATTTAATGCAGAAAAGCTCTATATGAGCTGTTTATTCTTAGTCATGTCATCTTTGTTGATGTGAAGTTTGAAGCATATAACTCTTGGTATGCTGGGTGAAATGTTCCTTCTAGGGATATAGACTTGGATTTTGTAATCTTAGGGGTACAGGTAAACCTACTTTTGTATTCTCTGTACCTGTGCTCTTCTGTGGGTTGCAGCAGGTTGAAACAGGACTGAGTGACAGCAGCCTACTAAGGCTGTCCCAGAAGTCTGGAGTCTCAGCAGTGCCTCCTACTTTGGGGTCTACAAAGGGTTAATTTCCCCAACTAGATATGCATAAAAACGCTAGATCAGGGATGAGAATTTTGCCAAATTGTATGTTAGTTTATAATTGCTAACTTGGTTATTCTTTTTCTAGGCTGTAACTCTGAAACTTCAGGAATATCCTTTTTTGTCCCATCTTGTAGTGCATGTACCATCCACTAATGGAAATAAGGTATTTAAGATGAGATTCTAACATTTTACTCAACAGGGTGTTCACACTAGTCAAATACTATAATTTCTTGTCCTTCATTATAAGAAATTAAATATGTGGAGCTGCACTAAATAATTCTTAATTTGAAAACCTATTTTAAGTGTGCGATGAGAGGTACATATATTGTTTTTCCAAGTATTTTAATACAGAGTTTTTTCCAGTAATTAACATTCCTCACAGGAGTTGCATCTTTTTATTAAAAAAAAAAAAGGGGGAGTGGGGGGGAAGCAGTAATTCTTCGGCTGGTCCACAGAATTCCTGCTGGTGATTCTAGTTCATTTCCTCGTTTCTTTCTTCTAAATACTAAGACCTAGGACATCTAAATATATTTTCTTAGTATCAGTCTCCTCTGTAAGCAGTTGCTTATACAGGGTACAAAGAACACAAAGTTGTGACACAGATGCTAAATGATTGAGAAGGTGAGAGGAGGTTGTCTGTGAAACAGTTTCACTTAAGATAATGGTCAATACTATATGTAAATCTTGAAAAATCACTTTTTGTAATGGAAAATGGGAAATATTAGGTCTGAGGTGAGGTGAGAAAATATTTTAAAATAAAAGAAATGCATAGATTGTGGAGTCAGGTTTTGTTAAAATTACATAGTCTTATCCATGTGAGCATAATTAAAGTTGGTTAAAATGGCAAACTAAGAATTCTTGGAATTAGTCAAGTCAGTACTGCATGTGGCCACAGTATTGCAGTCACTGTCCTTTGCCAGAATACCTCCTGAAGGGTGTTGCAGCTGATTAAAAATCAGAACAGTTATGATACTACTCTGTAGCCATTCTGTTGCATGCTAGCAGCTGAATCAGTTGGTGAGCAGCTCCTGTAATGGGATGTGAAAAGGTTTGCTGTTCAGTGAATTAAAACTCAAAACAGGAAGCTTACAAGAAGTGGAAACTTGGACAAACCACTACAGAGGAGTATAAGAGGATCGCTTATGCATGCAGGGATGAAATTAGGAAGGCCAAAGTACAATTGGAGTTGCAGCTAGCGAGGGACATGAAGGGTAATAAGAAACGTTTCTACAAGTATATAAGCAACAAGAGAAAGATTAGGGAAAGTGCAGGTCCCTTACTAAATGGAAGAGGCAACCTAGTGACAGATGTTGTAGAAAAGGCTGAAGTTCCCGATGCCTTTTTTCAGTCTTCACGGGCAAGGTCAGCTCCCAGACTGACAGCATAGTGTGAGGAGGAGGTGAGCAGCTGACAGTGACGAAAGAACAAGTTGGAGACTATTTAGAAAATCTGGACATGTATAAGTCCATGGGGCTGGACATAATGCACCTGAGGATGCTGACTGAGTTGACTGGTGCAATTGCAGGGCCGCTGGCCATTATCTTTGAAAACTCACAGTGATTGGGAGAGGTCCCAGATGAATGGAAAAAGGCAAAAATAGTGCCCATCTTTAAGAAGGAGATGTATCTGAGGAACTACAAACTGGTCAGCCTCACTGCAGTCCCTGGAAAAATCATGGAACAGGGCCTCAAGGAATCCATTTCTAAGCACTTGGAGGAGAAGATGATTAGGAACAGTCAGCATGGATTCACCAATGGCAGGTCATGCGTGACCAACCTAATTGCCTTTTATGATAAGATGACTAGCTCTGTGGATGCGGGAAGAACAGTGGACATGATATACCTTGACTTCAGCAAGGCTTTTGATATGGTCTCCCACAACATTCTTTCAAGCAAACTGAGGAAGCATGGATTGAGTGGACTGTAAGGTGAATAGAAAACTAGCTGAATCATGGGGCTCAGAGGGAAGTAGTCAATGGCTTGCTATCTAAGTGCCAGCCAGTATCAAGTGGAGTGCCTCAGTGGTTGGTCCTGGGGGTGGTTTTGTTCAATATCTTTATCAGTCATTTGGAAGATGGGCTGAAGTGCACGCTCAGCAAGTTTGCAGATGACATCTACTACTCCAATCATCTTGATATGTTGGAGGTTAGGTCTAGGATTCAGAGAGACCGTGACAAATTGGAGGATTGGACCAAAAGAAATCTCATGAGGTTTGATAAGGAGAAGTGTAAATTCCTACACTTGGGACACAAGAGTCCCATGCTCTGGTACAGGCTGGGGACTGATTGATTGGCTAAGCAGCAGCTCTGCAGAAAAGGACGTGGGGGTTACAGTAGACAGTAAGTTGAATATGAGCCAACAGTGTGCCCTTGTGAAGAAGGTTAACAGTTTACTGCGCTGCATTAGGAGGAGCATTGCCAGCAGATTGAGGGAAGTGATTATTCCCTTCTGTTTGGCACTGGTGATGCCACATCTGGAGTACTGCGTCCACTTTTAGGACCCCCAGTACAGAAATGATGTGGACAAATTGGAGAGTTGGGTGAAAGGCAGCAAAAATGGGTAGAAGGCTGGGACTCATGACTTATGAGGAGAAGGTGAAGGAACTAGGTTTATTTAGTCAGGAGAAGAGAAGACTGAGGGGGAATTCATTAGCAGCCTTCAACTACCTGAAAGGTGGTTCCAAAGAAGATGGAGTTAGACTGTTCTCAGTGGGGGCAGATGACAGAACAAGGAGCAAAGATCTCAAGTTGCAACAAGGGAAGTTTAGGTTAGATATTAGGAAAAAACGTTCTCACTAGGAGGGTAGTAAAGCACTGGAATATGCTATCCAGAGAGGCGGTGGAATCTCCATCCTTGGAGGTTCTTAAGATGTGGCTAGACAAAGCCTTAGCTGGGATGGTATATTTGGGGACGGTCCTGCTTTGAGCAGGGGGTTGGACTATACCTCCTGAGGTCCCTTCCAACCCTGATTTTCTGTGATTCTGTTTTTTAACAACCTTTGCACATTCTCTGCCCGAGGTTCTAAAGATAATAGGGCCAGATCCAAGGCTCTAGCCTTGTGTTCTTTTCAGATTTATGCAATAAAATAATATTTCTTTGTTGCAGTTTACTTTGGACTGTGAATTTTTCCAAGAGGATTCCAGAACAGTACAACTGCCTGTAACACATCTGTTTTCTTTTGGTAGGTATTGTGTCCTACTCTTCCAAAACTCAAAAACTGCCATTATATTTAATAATACATTTTGTCCTTGAGAGCTTCTGTGATCAATCTGAGTACATTTAAAATAATTGCTATTAAATGAATCTTAAGTTCATGCTTTGGTTGTTAATTTCTGGAAATGTTGTATAATAATTGCATATATAATGTATCTCTGCTTCCAAGAAAGAGGTTAATGAGCTTTTCAAGAAAATCCATTAATCTAACAATTAGAACTAACACAAGGTATTCAATTCTACAGGGCTTTCTTCAAGCAAAATTTTATTAAATTCATCTGGTCTAATTTACAATGTACAGCTCCAGCACTTTGGCCAGGTAAAAATCTTTAATAAAAAAAAGTCTTGTTATTCACTAAATAGTTCTTTGGAAAATGTAGGTGCATAAATTCATTTTTTGAATGATTTTTTTGTTTGTTTTTGTTTAGATATATCAAGCTTTTAAAATCTACATTGAGGGCCAATGTCAGTCACTCAACGGTAAACTTCAGGTTTTCCTGGAACGTATATCAGTGGTTGCAGTAAAATGTTCACTTGAAAAGGCAGTGAAAAATATAGCTGTCTCTAGACTTTCTAATGTTCTACATTGTAATGTGATTGCTTTCCAGTTTTTAACTTTGAGACACAAAACTAATACAAGTAGTAAAGCTTGAGAACTTCAGAGACAAAGACTTGTTTGTCTAATGAGTAGGTACAGTATGGGCAAGGTTATTCAAGCTTTCTAAAACTGCCTTGCCAGGGTGCCACACCTTTTTCTCTCGAAGGACAACAAATAAAAATGAGAAGGTAGTCTTTACACCATCCATCCTTGGCAATTGTCACTTAAACTATAGGCTCTTATTATGTTAATAGTCTCTATCAGGAATTGAACTGTTATTTCTAGTGTCATCACATGGTGAGGATTGTATTTGCTGTTGACTGGATGAAAATTGAAATGTCAAACTACTTATATGTGGATAGAAAATCTAGGTCTTAATGCAGTTTTCTGTTTCCAAATAAAATAAAATTAGATAGGGGGTGTCATTTTGGTAGCTCAGTGTTAACAGTGCATTAAGATAAAGTAATTTTTTTTTTTATTTATAGGAAGCTTCCTAATTTATATAAATGTCAAGTTTCTAGTTTTTTGTTTGGTAATTGAATGTGCAAAAGAGAAACTTAAATGCATAAGTCATAGTGACTTAATATAAATGGACAGATATGCCAATCATAGTTGTGCCAGTTTTTATAGACCTTCATAGATTTCATAGACATTTGGGCTGGAAGGGACCCTGGAGGATCATCGAATCCAGCCCCTTGTCCCAGGGGCAGGAAGTCAGCAGGGATCATAGGATCCCAGCAAGATAAGCATCCAAATGTGTCTTGAAGGTGTTCAAAGTGGGTGCTTGAACTGCCTCTGGCAGCAGTCTATTCCAAACCTTGGGGGCTCGGACAGTGGAATAGACTGCCACTGGAGGTGGTTCAAGCACCCACTTCGAACACCTTCAAGACAAATTTGGATGCTTATCTTGCTGGGATCCTATGTTGCTGTCACAACAACTATGATTGGCATATCTGTCCATTTATATTAAGTCACTATGACTTATGCATTAAAGTTTCTCTTTTGCACATTCAATTACCAAACAAACAAACTAGAAACTTGACATCTGTATAAATTAGGAAGCTTCCTATAACACATTAAGAGTTAAGCTCTTTAAACTGTGAGCTAGTTTTACCTGGCCATGCCAGGATCTATCCCAGACTTGATACCCATAGATATAATCTGTGTAATAGCAAGTATGTGTGAGAGTGGTTTTACAGGCAAATTGAGTTTAGCAAGGGTTATTAGATGCAGTAAGGTGCTTTATTAATTTGCCTAGTTAATGGAGGATAATTATTACATTTCACTCATAATGATCATGTAAGTATTTATATATAATACATATCCCACACACGTCCAAACTTGATGCTGTCAACTGAAAAATTAGCTCATAATTAACCATTCAATAGCTTTCATTATAGTGAACACTTCTTTCCATGCAGATTAAATGGCAACTATAGATGGTGCATCAGCCTTGGTTTTTCAAAATCAGTTTCAAAATCAATTGTATATCTGAGTTTTTAAGTATTTGTGCAAAGCTGCATATGTTTGATGTAGCAAAATAACCCAGTAGTCATTTTAACCGTTGTGTAGAGCTATGAATGAACTGTAGTAATGTAACCTCATCAAATGTTTCATAATTTATATTGACTTTTCTTCCTTTTCAGGAAGAAAACATAGTATTTACAGACTTCATGTACCATGGTCACATGAAGACTCAATAACTGTATCTAAGTAAGTATTTTAGAGAATTTAATATATTATCTTGGCATTTTTCAAAGTAGAGATTATATCAGAGTCATCAGAATATTAAGTAACCAAGTCTTAAATATTTGTGCTGTATCTCTTGTCCTTCCTTAACCCTTGCACCCTTCTCTAGAATTACATATTTTCACTGCTGAAAGTACTCTCTTTCTTGTCAATCTTAGTTTATAAGGTTGATTTGTAAGGGTTCAGCAAGCAAAATCTTTATTCCACTATCTTAAGATGCAATTTTCAATGTTCCTTCTTTCTACATGTTCCTCCTTCATCAGGGACAGACAATATATTTGTAGTAAGAAAAAGCTCGAGAGGTGCTCCATCTGTGAGAGATCCAAGAAGTTGTGAGAGGAAAGGGTTGCCATGTCTCATCCTTACTCTGACAGGGGAAGGGAGGTTAGAATTCTGGATAACTTATTGGGATTGCATTTCTTATATAAACCTTCTCTCCTTACCCAACCTACTCTGTTTTCTGCTCTTCTGTGTTGATGAGTCATCCTTTTCCACCCTTGGTATTAGCCAACTGTATCTTCTAAATTAGGGAAGTCAAACTCATCCAGCCCCATCGGCCAGATCTGGAATGTGGGGCTATGTCATTTGACTCTCAGGGCCAAAAATCTAACAGCAGCAGCTCATCCCACCATCAAATTTTCAGCCTGACAGGCAGTTCTGCAGCCCAGGTGATATAACTCCATGCTCCACATCCATCCCACCAGGCTGGAAAGTTGGTGGTAGGATGTGTGTCAGCCCTATGGGGAGCTCTGGGGGCCAGATGACAGCCCTGTGTCTTTGACACCCCTATTCTAAATCATCCACAACTTTTCTGGAATAAGTTTTTAAAATTCCGTACACCCTTTGGACTGAACCACTTCTCAAGAGAGAAACCTCATATGAATAATTTGGTAAAGAATCTGTTGTTTTTTTCAGTCTCACCTTCTTCCCAAGACTAAGATTCAAGATTTTTTCGAAGATATTGCTCTTTCTGCTTTTACTGTATTCCAGAAAAGTAGTAGTGTGCACGATCATTCAGGTATCTGAATAAAAAACCTAGTAAGAATGTCAGACAGGCTCATCTAGCTCTGGAGCCAGAGTGCCCTTTCAAATACTCCGAAAAGAAAACTAAAAAGTTCACAAACCCATGGAAGTCTAAAATGCTTTATTTTCTCTGGCTTTCCTCATCATTGTGAAAGAGGGAAGGTTCCTTTTTTTTCCCCAAAATATCTTTTAATCCATGGAGAAGAAGCTGGTGGCCATCACTGAGCTCTGTTTGAGGGAACTGGATGGCCAAACTTAGATCGAGGGCAAAATACCTGTCTTGAACATTTGAGTTTCTGGATCTTAAGGGCAAGATGCATAAAGGAAATAGCAGACCTTTCAATATGGCTCTTGACCATTCAATATGGTCCTTGCAACAGAAATCCTGGGAAGTAGGCTACCCCAGGTAGAACAGTTTCTAGTTGGCCAATAACAATGACAAAATTTTTCTTCCTCTGGAAAACAAACTAGAACATATGTTTCCAGTAGGGGTGTACCGATAAACATTCTTTTGGCTGATACCAGTGGTCAGTTGTTTACCAGCCATATTGGCTGATACCGATCCAATTGCTGATATGCAGCCCAGCAGCATGAACA